ACCCTGAACTTGCGCGGTGTCGGGGTGGTCCCGCCCGCATCGCGCCTGGCGAGCGCGACGAGAGTGGTGGCCCGGGCGTAGCCTACGCTTGGGCTGCTGGTGCGTGATGTCGTCGTCGGTCGATGGGGCTCTGGGTGGGAGGAGTACCATGTCGTACTCATATCCTAGAGACATGAACTCTAGGCTCCCGAACTAGATCATCGTGCCGAGACGCAATGGTCGCACGGGGTCTGCCATCCGGAATCTGTTGGGATGACTAAGCTGACATACAGTAGCTCCCCTACCTAGCGCGCCAACTGTCGGTGTTTTGGACCGGGGGGTCCTCAACCGACTAGTGAAAGTGTACTGCGTGTTCCTAAACCCAGATGGTGATGCAAAGAGACACAAGGTTTATACTGGTTCAGGCAATAGGTGCCCTACGTCCAGTCTGAGGGAGCGATCTTGTATTCCTTGCACCGAGGTGCTTGTAGTAGGGGCTTACAAGCTGGGCGAGAGAGGGAGCTAGCCCCAGGTCTATGTGAATTGCAGTGTGGGTTGCTTGAGATGTTGATCTCTTGCAGTGAAGGAGTGTGCGTGTTACAGAGTGTTGTGCGGGGCTTACACCGGTCTCCTTTTTCTAGAAGCGGCCCTGGTCACTCTCTTTTATAGTCGAGGGGAGGCACAGGGGCGGTACATATATTTGCTACGTGGCATTCTTCGGCAGGGGCGGCATGTCCGAGCCCTGCAGCTTGTCACTGTCACGGCGCGGTCGGTGGAGCGGTCTTGTCTTCCGTGCACTGGAGCGACGCGCCGGTCACGCCTGATCCTGTGCGACGTGGGAGCTCCTATGGTGGCAGGCGCGCCTTCTTCTGTTGGAGGCGTGCTGGTGGCTCTGCGTGTTTGACCGGCGCGGAGTGCCGAGACCGGGATGATGCGATGGCGCAGGTATGCTGATTCCGAGGCTACAGGAGCTAGGCCCTGTACACGATGTGGGAGCTCCTGCAGTCCGACGCAGGGCATGGCGCGTACTACGGGCGACGTGCCAGTCCTAGAGCGCTGACAACGTAGAGAGCCGAGGCCCAGTTTGATGCAGAGGCTGGACCGTCGTGGGGGGGGGGGCTCGGCGGGCGCGAGTCCTGAGGCTACAGGAGCCCAGAAGTGGGTAGCCGAGGTTCGGAGGGAGCAGTTGGCCTTGCACATCGTTTCCGAGGCTACAGGGACCCAGACGTGACTTTCCATGCTTGGGCAGGGGTTAGGCAGCACAGCGTGGCACGGGTGTCCGTCGTGGGCACAGCGCCGAGCACAGCGGCCGATAACCCCCGCCCCGTCCTATCTCGAATAGCATGGGGTCGATGTGACTTCCGTCTCGTCGGCCACTCCGCTGTACCGTGCCGTCGTGCGGCTGACGTCACGGGAGTGGTTGAACGTGTTAGTTGGATGTGACGTCTCGTCAGAGAAGTCGGTCAAGGCGGTGGTGATGGGGTTGATGCCGAGGCGGCCTCGAGCGAGTCGGTAACTGGGTGCTCGTCCGAGGTCTCGTGGTGCGGGGCCTCGGGTGAGTCAGAGAATCGATACCTCGTCCGAGGCCTTGCGGTGTGGGGCCTCGGGCGAGTCGGAGAATCGGTACCTCGTCCGAGGCCTTGCGGCGTGGGGCCTCGAGCGAGCCGGTACCTCGTCCGAGGCCTTGCGGTGTGGGGCCTCAGTCGAGCCCGAATATTTGTTCGAGGTGGGCTGGGCGGTCCAGCCGGGCCTCGGATGTGGCGGGTTTACCTGCGGTTGTATTTTGGTTTCGTTATTTACAAGGTCTAAGCAATCTTTTTTTGGTTCTTGCTTAGGGTACCCCTTTTTATTGTATCCGACACTATGGTTTCATAACTAGATTATAGGTTTTATCCTTGACTACCACTTTCTATAAAACTGATACAATCAAAGGGTGGGATGTTGGCCAGTACAAATCATGCTAAAATGTTTTGATTTTAGGATATGAACACGACTACGACGTTGAGAACGATGGATGGGATGAATGATGAGTCTATGTCCTAGACTCAAGGAGCCTGGGGATGATGATGCTCACCACCAGATGCTTCTCTACACTTAGCTCTGACGATGTTGCTCTCTGTGACTCTAGCCATGTGGACATTTTTGTGTAATAATGAGAAAACCATGTTGTCCAGTAAAATTGTTGTTCACTTCGGAGTCTCTCAGACAACACATAGAGAGATTATAGGTTAAAATGCCTTACAGATATATTTGCCAACATAAGATTTTGATACCCTAACTACCATATGTACCCCTAACAACATATAACATTAAATTAGTTTTAATGAACCCATCGTAAAATATGTCTTGAAAAAGAAATTTATTTGTTTTCTAGATGCTAATATTTTTTTTATAACTTGACTAAACTTAAATAATATTTTGTAATAAGTTTTAAGACAAAACTAAAATAACTTATCGGTGTGGTGCATAGACGCCAGCGGCTGCTGGCCTGTTGCGCCTGCTCGCCTTGCTCATCGCCTGCTACTCGTCTTGCTGCTCTGCTTGCCCTGTTGCTCGCTTCCATACATTCTTAGGCGTCCTTCGCTGCTTTCGCCACCCCTCGTCGCAAAATCGGGACCCTTTGTGCCGCTTCCCACACCTTATGAAACACTTGCAACATGGATGACTTGCTGCAACATACGTCTAAAACAGATGAAACATTTAGAACATGCGCTTGCAACATGTGTGCGTAGCCACTACAACATATGCAACATTCAGATAAAACACTTGCAATATACGTTAGAAATAATGCAATATCTCGATCTACTTTTGTAATATCCAGATAAAACATCTGAAACACTTAAAACATAATCTTGCAACATAAGCATTCAACACAATATTACCTTGCTACTTGGACGAATGGAGGATGATTATTGCGGAGCTCGATCTTTGCACGGAGGTCGGCAAGAAAGACATAGAGCTTCATGATTCCCAGCCAAGTGGTGGCGAGCACCTACTATCTGCGGTTCTGGACGAGCACACTGCTCGGTGGCTTCGCTTTCGTGAAAGCACACCTCACGGCGCCCTATTGGGCGATCATTCCTATTTGGCGAGAAAGCAAGGCAAGCGAAGCGAGATACAATAGCGAGTGTGAAGATACGGTGGTGAGTGTGAAGCCACATCCGTCTATCCGGACGAGAGCATAACTTATGACTTAGAAGGTGGAATATAAGTTGTTATATTGACAATAATTTAATTTCTTAAAAAATACAACCATAGATAGCTTTTTTTAGCAACACTATATATAGGCCCTTGATTCGGTGGTCGAAACTTATTGAAACTAATTTGAAAAAACACTGTTAAATTGTATGAGAGAAAAATACTATTACTAATTTGAAAAAAAAAAAAGCCAAACAAGCTGAATATGAAATAAGCCGAACAGGACCTATAGCTTCATGGATGACAACCAATAATGGCCCAACATAAACAGCACGCTTGTATTGTACTGTATGAGGTATGCAGTCTACGTATACCACCTCAGCGCTTGGGCTGGCTGTTGCCATGGGTTGGCTTCCCTTCGACCGCACCCTGTACCACACAGAACGGAATTTGGGGGCTGTTCGGCTGCCCTAAAATTCAGCCGGGAAGATACTGTTTATGGCTGAAAATACTATTTACTTTTTTATAAATTTTTCTAGATTTATTCAAATTCTTTTAAATTCCTCCGAACGAACAGGGCGTAATGCGGATACGAATCCTCGCAAGTTGGGGGTGCATCGGGACCACCAATGTTGGGCGTTAGCAACACCGAACTGTATAGCCCAACTGTGGTAGTACGCTGGCCACCACTTGTGGCTGTCTGAATCTGATCTCGCCCGGATTTTACACGTGGTATTCCGTTTCTGGCTGCCCTGCTGGCACCGCTGGATGGATGCGCCATCTCTAGCGCCTGTCGGGTACGGGCTTTCCTTTTCTGGGACAGATGAGCGGATACCATGCCATATCATGTCCGAATGTGAGAGTTTTTCTGCCCAAGATAAGGGCCAATTTTTTATCACCAGTTAAATTTAGCTGTCAAGGATCCAAACGGTCCAGCTAAAAGAACAATTAAAGTTTAGTTGAGTTTAGCTGCTTCGACCTAACTAAAGCTAGATTAAAAAAAACCTAGCTAAAGCTAACAAAAAATCAGTTGAGTCTATTAGCCGAATGATTCAAACACCCTAGCTAAAGTTTAGTTGGGGGATTTTTAAACTGGGTAAAGTTTTATTTCAAAATTTTAGCTAGCTAAACTTTAGTTGGATCGATTTAAACAGGCTCTAAGTTTGTGTTTCAACATCACAGACATAAATATTACAGTCCTAGGTGTCATGGATTTATTTCAGGATTTAACGACGTTATGTTTTCAGTGGTAGACAACGTTTACGTCGACAGCGAGACGCCTGTGATGACTTCGTCAATTCGAGATGTGCCAGCACAGTCTTTCGGAGGTGCTCATAGGGGTAGGGTTTGCATACGTATGTTCACTGTAGTTGTGTTATTCTAAAAAAAAAAAAGTGGCTGCGTTCATTTGGAGAACTCAACAAGACGGGGAAGAGTTCAAAAAAAAGAGAACGAGACGGGGCAAGGAAATATGAAAAACAAATAGCGAGGGGAAACAAAAGACTGCCGTAGCGTGGTGGGCTAGTGGCGTGCAGGCCCACTCTAGGTGCCGTGGGCTCGTAGCGGTTGCTTGATTTTATTGCAGTCCCTATTGGGCCTTCCCGGTGAAATTCAGTCAGTAGTAGGCCAGTAGGAAGGAAATTAACGGGTCCGAGTCCAGAGCTTCCGAGCAGTCAGCATTAGTACCCTGGCAGGGCCCATTAAAAACAGAGGCCTAATGCATTGGGCCTCCGTGGACATATCCTACCTCGGTACTCCAAAGCTGCGACCATTTTTTTTTCAAACAACAAATCACGGTTGAAATGAAACAACAAAAAGAATCACGGCCCGATCAAAAAAAAAAATGACGGCCCAACCAAACCTGTGTACATACATACATTGTTCTACGAGGCCAGGGCCAGCAGGTATCGGAACCTGAACTCGTACGGCAGGACACGCACGGGCCGCCGCGGCGACGCCGACGCGGCGCTGCCGTGCCCCCGGCCGGCCGCCTCGACCGCTCGGACGGCGTCGCGCTGCAGGTCGCGGGGCAGCTGCAGGCACACCCAGTCCACGAGGGAGCTCACGTCCTTGGCGAAGTCAGGCAGGTACCAGTGCAGGAGCTTCGGGATCGCCAACCCTGCATCGCTTGCCGGCGACGGCGAGACGCCCACCGCGGCCTGCAGGTACTCCCGCTTCGCCGCCTCCAGCTCCTCCTCGACTCGGGCCGCCGTGTACACCCTCACCTTCAGAGACAAGAAGCAGTGGTGAGTGACGCTGTCGCCATGCATGTCTGGTCAGTGATGATCAGTGGCAGCCAACTGTGCCGCGGTTAAAATCATTCGCGTTGAGGAGACAGCTCGGAGGACAGACTGCACGTCGGGCGTCCTGAGCACCTAAAGGTGTCGTGTGCTTTCTGCGTGATTGCCTATGTCATGTCTATGCACACGGAGCTCCCAAGAGAGGGAGACTTACTGATATACTCCTCGGTCTCAAAAAGAATAAAATCCTAGCGTTCAAATCATGTAAAAAAGAATATAATCCTAGGTTGTGATCAGCTTTTTAAAGTAGGACCCACCGAACACTTGTGAAGAATTCTCCGAAAGTTCCACTTGTGAAGAATTCTCCGAAAGTTCTACTTGTGAAGAATTCTCCAGAAGTTCTACTCTCTCGTTCTATTTGTGAAGAATAATCTAGAAACATAGATGCAATGATGGAGAGTAGGGGTACATGTGTAATTTCACATCTTTGCTAATTTGACCTTGAAACTCAAGAATTCCATTTTTTTGGGGGACGGAGGGAGTACTAGATGAACATTGATGCTTACGTGTACTTCGAAACACTAATTTGAGAATTGAGAGGCTATAAAACAACTTTGTTTTAGCTGGAGCTGCCAGATTGCTTCAGAAGGTTCGCTGATCACATATTTGGGAAATTCACTTTTCATAATGTCAGACCGTAACTAACATAACTTCCAGTAAGTTCGACTAACAGTTTCGGTTGTAACCTATTTAAACCGAGCGGTACTAAAATGCGACTTGCTCAACAAAGGCACATGCTTTGATCGGTAGTTATCACGTCCCGTCCTACGATAAATAGGGTTTTCCGGAAATTTTTCGTACTGTAGCAGTTGAAAGGATGCAGCAAGGACAGCACCTTTTCCTTCTGTCAGTCCTGGATCGTGCCATAGGTAGAGTTCTACAGTGCGAGGCTCCGACTCCGAGCGTGCAAAGGAAATGCAGTAGTACATGGCTTTGGCACGGAACACAGAGCCAAGAAACTCACCGCCGGCGACGACCAGCTGCCGCAGGAGAGCGCGAACGTCACCAGCGGCTCCGGCCACTCCAGCCCGAACACGGCCGGGCCGTCGCCGCCTTTCACCCCTTCAGTGTTCACCTGCCCATGCATGCCAAACGTCCACTGTCAAAACGCATTCGTAGACGACAGTTCAGAGATTTCAGCCTTTTTTCAGTGAAGGACACGGCAGCAATGATGCGGCCAGCCAGCGGCCTTACATGCTTTGCGTCGTAGGGCAGCCTGAGGATGAAGTGCTCGATCGTCATGGCGCTCAGCACGCGCCCGCCGACGTTGATGGTCGCCTGCGGGGAAGAAATGAAGACCGCCAGCTCACTCTTGTCAGAGATTTATTTGTCATGCAGTATCAGTATCTCCTGCAAACGCTACATGTATATGATGTCTAGAGAGGTGAAGTGAACATGGGATGGGACCTTGGGCATCATGGCCACCAACATATGGGGGTTGGTAGGTGCTCCGTGCTCAAGAAATGCCTGGAGTTGCAGAGCAAATAAACAAGCATCAGTGCCAGATCAGGGACAAGCCACTGGAGCCTATTAATGTATATATATCCAATATTCCAGTTAGGCTGTAAGTCCTGTACTACGGAGGACGTACTATGGTCAAAGGCTAATGCTGCCAAGATCGCAATTATTTAGGGCTTTGCTTATGATTAAGGAGACAGGAAGCATTTCAGCAGCAAAGTTTAATGACTGGTACGAACATGCTGGGCACAGACATGCCCTGTCTTAGAGCAGTTTTCAATACAAAATTGGTTCAAAAATTTGAACTTACACATCAACGGAGCCACCTCCAATTCTACCTGATTTACAGCATGAACATACTTATGAGTTCCAGTATCAAATGGTCCCTTCACAAATTGTAACTAAACGTCCTACTAACGTGAATCTCCCATCGACAAGGAAGAACATGGGGTATAAAGCTATGAATCATGGATGCTGCGGGGAGAAGCAAGAGGAGGCCTCAATTATGAGGGGCAGCTTACGTTCATCATGCAGGAGTTGTAGGTGTTGATCCAGAACGCCAGCCTCTGCTGGTGGGAGAGGCCCGCTAGGTCAACCAAGGAGAGCTTCCGGAGCAGTGCCCTGATTTTTTTTACAGGTACCAACGATCATTCCATCATCAGTATGCCAAGTCAAACAGGCAACCACTCACCACACCACAACCAAATCTAGTTTGCACCAACTGACCAACAGATTAGTAGTAGTAGTTACCGATCAATGGAAACTCACTTCAATCTCCGGCCAAGGGCGGAGGCGTCGCCGGCAGAAATGTTTGTGCCGAACGAAGTAGCGTCGACTGATCGGAACTGCTTGTACCGGCCAATGTCTCGCCAGCCGAGTTCTAGGACACCGTAGGGGTCTGAGCTGCTTCCGCAGGAACCGGAGACTGACGGCGTCGACACCCGCTCATCGTCTTGGCTGCTGGAGGTGCTTTTCTGCGAGAAGATGGCCAGCAGGCACGTCAGCAGCTCCTCCGAGATTTTGTTCGCCGCCGTTGAGGCCTTGTCTGGATCATTGCCATTGCCGCCGTCAATAGCTTTGTGCTCTTCCATTGTACTGGTTGTCTGAAACGGAAGATGAACATGCAAGAACGTTAGCGACCGACTGCCTAATTCAATGCCAATTTCTGCTCAGAGTTACAGCATCGTACCTGAAAACCTGCGCACGTCTCCGCTACTTGTACCCTGCATCCTCCTGGCACGTTACTCAAAGGCGCCAGGCCGGAATCTCTGCACGAGTTAGTGCCACTGCCAAACGACTGGTTCTCCTTCCCCGGACAGTCACCTTGGCTCAGGGAACGGCCGGGCCTTCTTGGTGTCTGCTTCACATTGGTGGCTCGCTTCAAAGATGGCCAATCAGCAGCATCTTGATTGGAGGAGCCTTGACGCGTCGAGGTGGACAGCTCTGAACTCTGCACTTGGGCCGTCGTCAGCTTGTGCCGTGCCGGCGTGCACCGGTCACTGTCCGGGAAGAACGCGTTCTTCGCCATGGAGGTGATGATGGCCTCCCGGTACAGTCCTTGCCGGAAATTGACGACCTGCTCCTCGAGCCGGACGACCTCCTCCTCCAGGACCGCGACTTCTGCCAGAAGCTCCAATGTCTGGGCACAATTCAGAAGAAGCGGAAATCATAAGTGGATTGCTTCGAAACTGCAACGAATTATGGGTTGGGTTGCTTGTGAAATTTGATCGAAAAGCAAAGAAGGGCACTGACTTGAGAGGGCAGGAAAGGGGGGAGGCGAGGCAGAGCGCCCAGCGGCCTCGTGAACGCCCGCTCCAGAGCTCGGTGGACGTTCTCCTCGTGCCGCAGCTTCTTCCTCAGCTTGTCCACCTGCAACTCGAAATCGAAAACGCTGGATGTCCTCAGCAAAAATGCAATGGCCTCACAGTTAAAACACCAGATAGAACGAGAGAGATATGTACATCTTGCTGCAGTGCAATTTTCCTGTCCCTCCGAGACTGGTTTCTGTTCTTCATGCCCTGCGGCGTCGCATTTGCGGAGGACGCCTTCATGGCCACCGGCGCCGTCTTCGAGCTAGGTGGCCTCCTCTGCTCCTTCTCCATCGCCTTGAACAGAGAAAACAACAGGAAAGGAAAATTGAGTCGAAGAGCAGGCAGGATTAAGAAGACGTCGGCAGCAATCGGAGGACGGAGTACCAAATTCGAGCTGCTCTCTACGGCGACGGATCCAACCGAGCCGATTTCAAACGATTGCTAGAACAAACAAAGGCCGCCACATTTGGCTCAGAAAAGCAGGGAGGAACAGAGTGCCGAGCACACAACCGTACTGCTACTACCACTAAACAATCCGTGGTCACAGAAAACTTGATACTCTAGCCAAAAAAAATCACTCGCCCCAAGAACAGGAGTACTAGAGTGCAAAGTTCATCTCTCGAAGACACCAAAAGCAAAGACGAAGGCGCAAAGAATTCAAGGACCCGTCAGCATGGGTGTGAAAGCCGCCAGCTTTCCGATCGGAGGAGCACGCAGGCCGGCGAGAAACTGAAAATAACATCTCGGAAACCGCCCCCCAAACTGCAGAGAATATAATCATCACCTGGGCCCTCGCTCAACTCGACGAAAGGCGCAAACTTTCCGACGGCGGAGCCCAGTCCAAGAAAGAGAGGGACGGCAGCGCAAGGCTTACTCACTTTCTCGTTCCTCGGGGCGGCCCTGGTGGTGGCGCCGCGCGCCGCCGCCGGCCTCCGCGCCCTCCCGTTCATGGCCTCCAACGGCGTGTGCATCAGCTGACGACGCGCGACGGAAACGGAACCGCACCGAGCCGCGGGCGGCCGCAGAGAGGAGAAGAGGGCTAGCTAGATGGCGGGAGGAGGAGCCTTAATGGACGGCATTTATGGCGTTGTGGCGAGCGCCAGGCACCACCCGGAGCGGACCTCGGGGAGCGGTTTCGCTAGCGAGGCGAGCGCGGCGCCTGGAGCAGGACGACCGGAGACAGACAAGGCCGCGGGGCGGGCAGAGGCCAGAATTCCGCAGCGCGGATTTGGTTCGGGGTTGGGTTGGGACAGCAGCGCGCGCGGGGCTGCGGCGGGAAGCGTGAAGGCGGTGGCGATGGCGACGGTGGCTGGCGTCGTCGTCGTCGTCTCGTTTAAGCGTGGCGTGGTGGGCTTACGAAGCCTTTTTGATCTGGACCGCGTGCGTGCGTGTGTGCGGGCGGTGTTCCTTTTTTCTTAACCGTGCTGACCTGCTCCTGCGCTGCGCCGGGCGGGCGGAGCGACGCGATGGCGCGACGGAGGTGGGGCGGGGCACGCGTCTGCCAGCGTGTTGGAGCCTGCCGCGGGTGGCTTGCATTGGTTCCGATCGGGTGCTTGGCTGCTCGAGCCAGCGGCCAGCGCTTGGTGCAGTGGTGGGGTGGCGCCGCGGCGTGGGGCAGACGCGGGACGGGTCAGCGCTGCCGCTGCGCACCAGGAGCCACGGGGCTAATCATGAGCGCAGCGTGCGCTCGTCGTAGCACCGCGGCTCCCAGGGCCAGGGGTCATCCTCCTGGAGGGCCAGCTCTTCGATTTTACTGTTGGCAGTGTCCACTTCGCGGGCTTTTTCACCTTTTGTTCGTTTGGTGGAGTGGCAGACTGTTGGCACGCTGTAAAAAAATGGGGTTGCTCCCCACACGGTCTAGGAAAAGCTGACAGAGAGGATTGGCTGAAGTCAGTCACTCGTGCATTTGGTCCGTGCCGACAGTCTTATGGTGTCATCTATTATATTAATATAATATTATTATAAAGGAGCCACGATGTTTTTATTAAAGGAGCCACGATGTTTATCCAGAGGGCCTATAAATTACAAGATTAATAAAAAAAACAATATGTACTATTGATTTTAATGATCATCTAACGATATACTCCGTTTTGTGTTGTCCGGTTGTGGCTGCAGACGTTGCAGCTACGACAAATTCGGGCGCAGAATTACTGTAGCATCAGTGGCTGCAGCCGCAGTCGAACAACCCCATATGTCTAACCAAAGACTCCACACCAGATACAATTAATAAGATACAACTAAATTTAGATTTAAACAATATGAAAGAGATCATATCAATTACTATTATTAAATAGCTAACATTCCGAGCCATGGTTGTTGTACTACAAGTATGGTATCCTATATATACCACAGTTTTTATACTAATAAAAGACTACGATGTAGCTAAGTTCAAAATTAAAGGATATAAAATGCTCTCTCTCTCTCTCTCTCTCTCTCTATCTATCTATCTATCTATCTAGATAGATTGATTGATTGATTTTAAGATAAATAGATAGATGGATAGTATTACTATATATGTATATAGCTAAATGTAGAATAAAAGGTATGAAAGAGACTATATAAATTATGCATTTATTAATTATAAAAATTCCATGCCATACATGAGTTACCATACTACATATATGATAAATATATGGTATTTGATATGTAGACTACCTGGAATCATGAAAGCTATATGATGATAGGATGTTTTGTACTAATATAAAAATAAAATATAGTAAATTTAGAATTAAAATCCATCTATTTACAAAACTGTTAAAAGGAGCCATCATTTTCACCAAGAAAGTATAGAAATTTCATATCGATCGGAATAAAAAATTGATTCTTCATTGTTGGATTTTATGATGATCCAATAAATTATATTAAATCAAAGAGTTCATACCTAATATAACTAATAAATAGTAAATTTAGAACAATCTATTAAGAAAAAAATAAGCAATTTGATTTCTATACGAGTTTAGAAAGAAAAATGCCTAAATAAAGAGTCCATGTTCTATAGGCCTAAATAAAGAGTTCACATTGACCGTATAGATCAAGATTGTAATGATATAGATCTATCAAAGATCTATAAGAAAAATAAAGAATACGATATATATTCAAGTATGGAAAGAGATGATTGTGTAGAATTCAAATAGCATTATGATTTGATTTTTTTTATAATAAAAGATAAGAAAACTATAGGCAACGTCATGGCAGGCATAAACACACATGCACAAGAGCTACCCAAGGTAACCACCAATGCATTGGCATGTCCATAACAATTATTAAAGCACTTCACCCCTTCCACGTCGTTCTCTAAGCCTTGCCATGTCAAATAGTCCATTTGTTGTAGCCCTAAGATATTTAGTTTGCTCTTTCTCTATGTGTTGGTGTTTCGAGTAAACACTAACTAGTAAATTTATAATATTACTAAATGCGTCTGGTTCGGATGATGTGCTAAGAGGACACGAGGTTTATCTTTGGTTGGACGGAATGTCCCTACGCATGATTCGCTGCTGTACCGCCGTGTTACTAGCACTAAAAAGTTCGTAGTAGGGGTTACAAACAAAGAGAGAGGGACAGTACCAAGTCTCGGTGGAAAGAACGAATAGGTGCCGAGAGCTCGAGTGCCGCTTCGGCTATGTGTTCGAGGTTCGATGCTAGTGGTTTTGATGTGATCCCCGTGGTCTTGATCCCCCTTAGGGGACGCCATGCTTTCCCTTTTATAGGTTAAGGGAAAGCAGGGGTTACAGCGGAGGGAGAGAGGAGAACGAGATGGAGAGGAAGTCCTTCAGGGTCGTCGAGTCCTTCTTCTCCTTCAAGTGGGTCCCGCCGACCCTGTAGACGTCAACAGGGACAGCTTCACATCGCGGCCCCGTCCGTCACTGGCGCCATGTGCAGGCGTCGTCTCCTGGTCGTGGCGCTCCACTCCGTCCTGGCGGACGTCGTGGTGAACTGATGTACCTATCAACGTTTGTATGGGGGTTAGGTGGAACAGCGCCGGTTTGCCCGACGTTGTTCTTGATGTGAATCTTCTGGTATGGCCCGTCAAGGCCATGGGTCGCATCAGGGCGTGCCGATCTCTTCTCTGATGTCAGAGCTTTGACCCAGGCCCATACGCTCGGTCCTGGAGTGGTTGGCGGTGGTATGGGACTCCATCGGGCGAGGCGGAGCCAGCACTCAGACGTCGGGCAAGGCGGAGCCCGCCCTCAGACGTCGGGCGAGGCGGAGCCCTCCCTCAGACTTCGGGCCCCGCCCCAGAGGTCGGTCGAGGCGGAGCCTACGTGCTAGGGGGTCAGCTGGAGCTGTAGTCGCGCCCTCAACTGCCTGGATGGATTAACGTTTAACGGCCATTAGCCCCTCCTCTTCGGGTACCCTAGTATGGTCCCTGACACTATGCTTTCAATTCGAAAGTTTTAGCATCACCACCGATATCATCGAAAGGGAACAACTAAATATAATGTATTGATTACAATGATCTTGAATCAAATTTAACATCTTTTACATGGATGACCAAGGAGAGGAATACATGGCAGTTGGCTGAAATTATTACAAAATCATGAAAAACAAATCCTATTTCGATATCTTATAGGATATTGGTCACTTGATGTCTTGTTGGACATGTGTAAGAAGCTCAAAAGCAACAAAAATGGCATAGTTTGGATTTTTTTTTGAACACAAGTGGAAACAAATTAAATATGATCATAACATGGTCACAACAATGCACTAGAGTAGCATAAGTAGCAGGTCAAAAATAAGCATCTCATTGATGCTATTGGTGGTTCATTGTTTTGTTTTGGAATGCTTACACCAATGGATGTTGGTGCAATGATGGGGCCAACTAGCTAATGCTTGAGGCAATAGTGGATCAAGCAGACATTAGCAGTATTATGATGAATCCAAAAAATATTTTAGGGCAAAAAGGATAACTATGAATTTGTAAGATACATGATTATTCATTTTAGCATCATGATGATTGATCATTCTAGACCACTAGACTAGCTGCCAATCATTTCGACGTGTAATAGAAAAATAAAGGAAAAACCCTTCGTAAGCATGAATGTAGAACAATATATATAGTATAGGTGGCGAAAATAAGGGGGGCTTCAAAGTCACTATTTGAAATGCATTGAATGGTCTAAGAGGGGATTGAATTGGGATTAAGAAAGTTAAAGAAACAATCTTAGCCTGTGCAAAAACTACTCACCCCTTTAATTTGTATGGTAAAATCCTAGGACCAAACTGATCACACTAAGAATAACTCCTTAGAGCCTTCACACTAACTATGTCCTTGAAAGGTTTGTAACAAAGAAAATATATAGAGAAACATGCTAAACAAGTCTACCAAGAGTTTCACACAATGATTAACACAAATAACCATATAAACAACTAGAGGGAAGCTCATGATCGCACTGAGATTAGGTCCTTAGCTTGTGAAAATTAAACACTATGACATCGAAAAAAAAACTATTCTAGTTGCCAAACAAGATTCTTGCACCCCAAGCAAAAAGCAAAGCTCAAATTAGAACTAAAATGAAAATGAAAGAATTGAATAGAAGGATAAGAGACAACCGTTTTTTCTATGGTTTCAGGTAGCTGCCACTACTTCTAATACATTTTAGAGCACCAAAGAGTCACTAAGACTCGGTTACACTCCCTTGAGCCACCAAGACTTAAGTCTCTACTAGTGAATACATATTCTCCATTCTACTCCATTCTAGATCAGTGGGTTTCAAACAGAGTACACTGTACACCTTTAGGAGCCTCTCCACAGAGTAGCTCTGCCGGGAAGGTTACCTCGTCCTCTGTCGAACTATCTAGATGATGGCACACACAAAGAGTAGCAACTTCCTGTTGACACAAAATGTGACGCCTGCATGCACTTTTACGACAAGCCAGCGAAAAGCGTAGCTTCAATCGGGTGCCCGGGTGCTTCGTGATCCGGAACGTGCCAGTCAGTTTGACCTGAAAG